CGATTGGTAACACACTTGGCCGAGGAGTTCAAACGCAAGTACAAGAAAGATATGACAACCAATCCACGAGCACTGCGACGCTTGAGAACGGCAGCCGAACGAGCCAAGCGTACACTATCTGCGAGCACAGAGGCCACCATCGAAATCGACTCATTGTTCGAGGGCATCGACTTCTACACGAAAATATCGCGAGCTCGTTTCGAGGAATTGTGCGGTGATTTGTTCCGAGCCACACTACAACCAGTGGAAAAGGCACTGGCTGACGCCAAATTGGACAAATCCAAGATTGATGAGATCGTTTTGGTCGGCGGATCAACGCGCATTCCAAAGGTTCAATCGCTTTTGCAGAACTTCTTCAACGGAAAACAACTGAACTTGTCAATCAACCCAGACGAGGCAGTTGCATACGGTGCAGCAGTACAAGCAGCTATTTTGACCGGTAGCAAAGACAGCAAGATCCAAGACGTGCTTTTGGTCGACGTAACACCACTCTCATTGGGCATTGAAACGGCCGGTGGAGTAATGACGAAGATCGTCGAACGAAATGCTCGCATTCCATGCAAACAAACGCAGACATTCACCACATACGCCGACAACCAACCAGGCGTTTCGATTCAAGTGTTCGAGGGTGAGCGAGCCATGACCAAGGACAACAATGTGCTGGGTAAATTCGAATTGAGCGGCATCCCACCGGCACCGCGTGGTATTCCAAAAGTTGAGGTCACATTCGATTTGGACGCAAACGGTATTCTGAATGTGACAGCGAAAGAAATGAGCACCGGCAACTCGAAGAACATCACCATCAAAAACGACAAGGGTCGGCTATCACAATCCGAAATCGATCGAATGTTGGCCGAAGCCGAGCGCTATCGAGACGAGGATGAGAAACAACGCGAGAAGATTGCAGTTCGTAACAATCTCGAAGGCTATGTGTTCAGCGTGAAACAAGCAATCGACCAAGCCGGTGACAAATTGTCCGAGGAAGAGAAATCGAAGGCTCGCAACTGCTGTGAAGAAACAATCAAATGGCTTGATGGAAACGGACTGGCCGATAAAGAGGAATTCGAACACAAAATGCAAGAGGTTAGTCAACTTTGTTCGCCAATCATGACAAAGATCCACACGGGCGGAGCAGGCGCCGGATCGAGCAACTGTGGCCAACAAGCCGGAAACACCTTCAACAACTATCAAGGACCAACCGTTGAAGAAGTTGACTAAATTCATAGAAAAATATTGGAATATGTTGATTAGTTAATAAGTAATAGCTTCTAAGAATTTATAAGTAAATATGATAGTGAACTAGAATCTTAGTAGTTTATTAAATTTTTCGTAAATTAAGAGAATGTAAAGACTGTAAATGAGATAGATGAATAAAGAAATCCTCAGACATGGAAAATAATAAAAAGAAAAAAACAAAATGCGTTTTTTATAAAGAATTTTAGAAAAATCATTCATTTTCAGGAACTTTTTCAGGTGACACTTGTTAGATACAAGTGTGATTTGGGTTCTCAGCTTATATCGATAATTGTCGTAAAGAGTGTCGATTCTTATTTCTTCATTCCAGTTTTCAATCACCCCTCCAAACGTTGCCAATTCGCCAATGAAACGTTTGCTCATTAGTTCAACTCAATTGTGCATTTCTTCCATTCTTATTTTGCTGCTACTTTCAATTTTGAAAACTAACTGAACTTTATAGACCAATTCAATTAAAAAAACTGCCTGATTTCAATGACTAATGAAAGAATTTGGAACTGGTTGCTATGTTTGTCGTAAGTAGTCACTCTTATTTTGAACGTAATTGTTGGATTTTTTTTATTTATTGTAAATTTGTAAACTGCTGATAAGCCATATGCTAAAAAAAGTAAGGAGACGAAACAAAAACAAAATTGAAAACGTGAATTCACACATAGAATCGCTGTAATCGTTATCTTTACTGCAGATTGGTTGGTGACAGCAGTATCGAGTGCGCTCTTGTTCAGTTAAGATGTTTTCGATGCGATTTAATTTGTTTGTTATTTTGTCTTTCTCTGTTGTGATCGGCATATCAACGGAGCAGTATAAAATAGTTGAAACTCAAAATGGCCCAGTTCGCGGAGTTTTAGAAACAACGATATTAAAAAAAGTATCGTATTACTCTTTCAAAGGGATTCCATTTGCAAAACCGCCTATTGGAGATTTGAGATTAAAGGTTAACTCTTTTCAATGTTTTTTTTCTCAATAAATTAGAACTTTTTGTTGAATTATTTTGAAGGCTCCAGAACAAGTTGAATCATGGAATAATGTATTGGATGCATTTGAGTATGGCAAAATCTGCATACAACCCGGCAAACTGTTTCCAGAACCATACCTACAAAGCGAAGACTGTTTAAAATTGAACATTTTTATTCCAGGTAAAGAAAAATATGGCATTTGAATGATTTTGAAGCCAAAATTGGCAAAAAACGCACAGGTGAACGTAACTGAGTTACGTAATTTAGCCACATAATAGCGAATAGGAAAATATTTTCAGATATAGAGGAGCTTTGATAAGATAGCATTACTCGAAATTTAAATTCATTATTATGCGAAAATGCTCGATGACTTTTAAGATTCCTCGTTTTCATCGTTGCAATAAATTTTCTTATTGACTTTTTTGCATTCCGATAACCAATGTGTGCGGTGTGGATAACTTTATTTTATTAATTTTTTCAAAGTCGTAAAATTTACTTCTCCATTCAGCTGACGTGAAACCAAATGAGAGCTTGGCTGTGCTATTTTTTATTTATGGTGGTGGATATGCTGAAGGCTCAAGCAATGACTATATTTATGGGCCCGATTTCATTGTGGAACAGCAAACCATTTTGGTTACAATAAACTATCGACTTGGATTGTTGGGATTTTTATCGCTCGATACGCCAGAACATTCAGGTAACATGGGTTTAAAGGATCAACAATTGGCATTGAAGTGGATCCATTCGAACATCGATCGATTTGGCGGCGATAGCAAACGAATCACAATCTTCGGCGAAAGTGCAGGTAAACTTATCACTCCGCTTAACAGACTGATATCATTCAAAATCCAATTTCATGGATGATAATATGTTGAGTTTTTGATCAAATTTTAACTCATATGCAGGAGGTGCGTCGGTTCACTTCCACATTTTATCGGCTGAATCTCGCAAATATTTCCGCAATGCGATTCCAATGAGCGGAGTGATCGACAACTATTGGGCAATGTCCGAAAAGAATGATCATGTGGAGCTCGCTTACAAGATAGCCAAAGATTTTGGTGAACCAAAGGACACTTATGATGAATTAGTAAATTTTTTGATGTCAGCTCCAGCGGATAAGCTCAGTGAATATAGTCTATTAGTTGTGCCGAATATTTTGTTCGAAATCGCGTTCACTCCAGTCATTGAGAGTGAGTATAACTCACTTCATAATCAAAATTTACTGAATTTTTTTCAAATCATTTCTTTAATTTTCATAAAAATCATCCATAACTTGTCTTTCCGAGATAGGAAGAGATGCAAAGCAGTCCTTTATTGTTGAGTCACCAGAGAAAATCTACGAAACGACAGATATTGATGTTGATACGATGTTCTCAATGACTTCTTTGGTAATACACATTGGCTCACACACAAACTAATTGAAGTAATCTGATTGATGTGTTTCGTTTACAATTTCATGATCATTAGGAAACAGTTGGATATATTTCTATGTTTCCACCGTTAAATGATTTACTTGCCAATTTCGATGTGCCACTACCATTTAGGGGACTTAAGATTCCATTAGATTCAAATGTGAGTATACAGTTTTTCATGTTTTATTGCGGGAAACATTGGGAATATTTCCAATGAATACACAGAACCTTTCGTAGCAAACCGTTCTTCTTCTTTTTTGAAAGGAGCATGGTCATTTAGTGGATGAAATTCGGAATTTTTACTTTGGAGACAATGTAAAGAGTGCCCAAGTAGTAAAAAAATACGTTGAGCTATTGTCCGATGTAAATTTTGGTTATGGAATTTATAAAGCGGTGAGAACCTTCGCGTCCAAATCGACCGGCAAAACATATTATTACTGGTAAAATTATGAATTTTTAAATATTATCACAATGTGATTTCATTAGTATGTACTTAAGTTGTTTTTTTCAAACAGGTTTTCGGTTGATTCGAAATTAAGCACATTCATACCTAGAAGTGCTGATGTAGCCAATATCACTGGTGCTTCTCATGGCGACGATTTGTTTTATCTTTTTCGGTGAATATTACAAGCAGTATTTTGAAACAATTATTTAATGAAATTCGTTGAATTTTCAGATGCGAAATGGCTCGGACTCTTTACGATGAAATCGTAAACAGCAAAGATGACGAAAAATCGAAAGTCAGCATCCGAGCCATTGAAAGTATCAGCAAAATTGTTACGAATTTCGCCAAATATGGGTAGGTTCCATTGAGATTTTAATTGAAAAATTAAAATTCTTCATTTTTTCATTGTTTTCTCAATTTTTGCACAGTGAACCATCCCACGAAGGTGATCCAGTCGATGAATTTCAACCGGTTCGAAATGAGAAAATTCAAGTCATTGATATAAACAATGAGGGTGTCACAATCAAATCAAGGCCAAATCAAAAGGCGTTCGACTTCTGGGCGACCATTGAAAAGAAGGCTGTGAAGTTATCCGAGCTTATACTTAAACAAAATAAAGACGAGTTATAAAATATAAAAAAAGTTAGAACCCATAGCTAAACACCATGTGGTGTTGCAAATTCTATTCACATCAATAATAGATAAAACTTTTATTTTAAAGAACTTTCGAATCATGTGACTAAAGTTTAAAAAAAAACACAAACAAGTGAAAATAAATTTTCGACATTTGAATGAAGCAAAATGAACCAGCTGGCCAAATATCAAGCTTTCGACTTATAAATATGGCACGATCAATTCAAAATATCAATATATTGATAACATTCCTTAAAATTCTGTTTTTATGTTCAGTGATTTTATCACACTGAAACGAAATTCAATGTGAAAAACATAACAAAATGGAGTACACGTTAAATGAAGTTCTTTTTACTCAAACATTACAATCTAATATGATAAATCATGGTAAATTGTTGAAAGTTCCTTTGATGTTTTTCCTTAAAAAAATTTAGTTCCAATAAAAAAAATGCAATGAAAAGATTTGATGAATTCAAACTAACGTTCGTTTTTCGTCATTTGCGTTGACGAGATTACGTTCGATCACCATTTCAATTCTGCATACATTTGTTCAAAGGAGGAGACTTAAAGTTTGTGTTGATTTGCCCACAAAGAGGTTCAGCCTGCTAATGAAGAAGATTCACGTAAATATTGTGCGACACATCACGAACAAAACAAAACTTTTCATATTTGAATTCCAACAATTAAATGATAATTTTGCTTAAATATTTCGCTAAACTTACAACGATTTGGAGTTTGCTTACATAGCATCTTTCACTTTTGCTTCTTTCTTTCAAATAATTCGACGACTGGGCAACTATCAAAGCTCACAATGTTCAAAATGCTCACAAATTATTCTACGTTTTTTTAACACTTTCTCATTTTTAATTACTTTGATTTTTGTGTTCTATTTACTCGTTCAAACTATTCAATTTGGAAGAAAATCAGCAGATGAGCTCAACAAACACCACATTTTCCTCCAGTGTGCAAATATGAACTGAATGCACATTTTTTAAATTAATATGTTATGTTCGACGGGTGTAACGAATTCAGTTTAATTAAAAATATCAGTGTGACCAATTGGAACTCAGTTCGTATTTCCGTAACTGTGCTGTAAACGAATATCAACGAATTGCAAGGTTGACGGTTCGTATACTTTTTCCTTCTTTTTCAGACTGTTCGTCCATTTGTTGAAATTTCGTGTCCGTTTATTCGTTGTGAAAGAACATTTACTTATCATGGTTTATTCATTGCGCTGTAATTTGTGGTTTTACGCGTTTATGTTCAATTTTTCGTGTGACACACGACGTGTGCATACGGGTACAGTTTTGGATAGAAGTTTTATTTTACACGACTTCATGATTTTACTTTAAATGTGGCGATAGTTTAATTACAAAGAACAACAATTCTGCTTTTGAAAATCGTGTACATTTCAAATCATAAGCGAATATATGAACGATCATGCACTGAGTGCAAATTTAAATCGCAAAATTTTGAGCAAATTCTATATGATTTTGAAATGTAATGCATTGGTGTGCGAAGAAAGTGATGTTTTTAATACAATGGATAAGCAAAAGTTGTTTAGCAACCGAAACAGAACAGATCAGTATAATCCGTTAAATGCATGAGCTCAACTTGACGAATTACATCATCCAATTCGATTCAATTCTACAACGAAATCTTCGTTTCCATACAAATCGTTCGCAAATACATTCACATTCAAACGATTTGAGTGTTTTTCTCATCAGTTTCTTCTTCATCAAAAGTACCAAACATACTATATGAATATTCAAAAAAAATATCTTCATGAAAAAAATTGTTTGTATCATTCATCATGTGAGAGCAGTTTGTTTTCACACAAAAATCTGAAGAATATTTTTCGCTCATCGCCGTTTCTGTTTAGATCATTTGTACATACGTATATACGCACATATAGTTCATTCAACACTGTGAATGAACTTCAAACATCGAACTTTCTATACATTTCCCCGTAAACCTAGTAAATGCGTCGACGCGTCTACCGCATTCGAACGCCATATAACAATACACAGCGAACGTTCTAGAGTGTACGTGAAAACATCACAAGGTCGACAAACATCCAACGCTTTCTATGCGAAGCTTCTCGAACACAACAAAACAGTATAAATACCGTGCGGCGGCTGTATCGCAGTCAGTTGAAAAATAAACAGAGAAGCAAACACTTCAAAGAAAGAAAAGTAAGGAGGAGACAAATTAAAGCGAAACTTTGAATAAAAAAGCATAAACCGATACACAAGTGAAACAAGTATTGTTGTGAACAGTGAAAAAAGTGAAAAAAGTGAATATCATATAAAGATGCCTGCAGTAGGAATTGATTTGGGAACAACATATTCGTGCGTTGGAGTGTTCCAACATGGAAAAGTTGAGATCATCGCCAACGACCAAGGCAACAGAACAACGCCGAGCTATGTAGCGTTCACTGACACCGAACGTTTGATTGGCGATGCGGCCAAAAATCAAGTCGCCATGAATCCGAAAAACACCATCTTCGACGCCAAGCGATTGATTGGCCGCAAATTCGACGATCCGAAAATCCAAGAGGACATGAAACATTGGCCGTTTACAGTGCTCAGTGAAAATGGCAAGCCGAAAATTGTGGCCGAGTTCAAAGGAGAACGTAAACGATTCGCACCAGAGGAAGTCAGCTCGATGGTTTTGACAAAGATGAAGGAGACAGCCGAGGCATATCTGGGCGAATCGGTCACCGACGCTGTAATCACAGTACCAGCCTACTTCAACAACGCACAACGTGAGGCAACAAAAGATGCTGGTGTGATTGCCGGGCTCAACGTGCTTCGTATCATCAACGAACCAACAGCAGCCGCCTTAGCATACGGATTGGATAAGAATCTCAAGAGCGAAAAGAACGTGCTCATCTTCGACTTGGGTGGCGGTACATTCGATGTATCAGTACTGACCATCGATGAGGGCTCGCTGTTTGAAGTACGATCCACGGCCGGTGACACACATTTGGGCGGCGAAGACTTCGACAACCGATTGGTAACACACTTGGCCGAGGAGTTCAAACGCAAGTACAAGAAAGATATGAAAACCAATCCACGAGCACTGCGACGCTTGAGAACGGCAGCCGAACGAGCCAAGCGTACACTATCTGCGAGCACAGAGGCCACCATCGAAATCGACTCATTGTTCGAGGGCATCGACTTCTACACGAAAATATCGCGAGCTCGTTTCGAGGAATTGTGCGGTGATTTGTTCCGAGCCACACTACAACCAGTGGAAAAGGCACTGGCCGACGCCAAATTGGACAAATCCAAGATTGATGAGATTGTTTTGGTCGGCGGATCAACGCGCATTCCAAAGGTTCAATCGCTTTTGCAGAACTTCTTCAACGGAAAACAACTGAACTTGTCAATCAACCCAGACGAGGCAGTTGCATACGGTGCAGCAGTACAAGCAGCTATTTTGACCGGTAGCAAAGACAGCAAGATCCAAGACGTGCTTTTGGTTGACGTAACACCACTCTCATTGGGCATTGAAACGGCCGGTGGAGTAATGACGAAGATCGTCGAACGGAATGCTCGCATTCCATGCAAACAAACGCAGACATTCACCACATACGCCGACAACCAACCAGGCGTTTCGATTCAAGTGTTCGAGGGTGAGCGAGCCATGACCAAGGACAACAATGTGCTGGGCAAATTCGAATTGAGCGGCATCCCACCGGCACCGCGTGGCATTCCAAAAGTTGAGGTCACATTCGATTTGGACGCAAACGGTATTCTGAATGTGACAGCGAAAGAAATGAGCACCGGCAACTCGAAGAACATCACCATCAAAAACGACAAGGGTCGGCTATCACAATCCGAAATCGATCGAATGTTGGCCGAAGCCGAGCGCTATCGAGACGAGGATGAGAAACAACGCGAGAAGATTGCAGTCCGTAACAATCTCGAGGGCTATGTGTTCAGCGTGAAACAAGCAATCGACCAAGCCGGTGACAAATTGTCTGAAGAAGAGAAATCGAAGGCTCGCAACTGCTGTGAAGAAACAATCAAATGGCTTGATGAAAACGGACTGGCCGATAAAGAGGAATTCGAACACAAAATGCAAGAGGTCAGTCAACTTTGTTCGCCAATCATGACAAAGATCCACACGGGCGGAGCAGGCGCCGGAACGAGCAACTGTGGCCAACAAGCCGGAAACAATTTCAACAACTATCAAGGACCAACCGTTGAAGAAGTTGACTAAAGTGACAAATTGAAATTATAATTCATCAATAGTTTATAAGTAGGTGCTAAGAATATGTAAATAAATATGATAGAGAACTTAAGTCATACAAATGTACTGAAATCGAGGAAGAAATCACTCTTTGCATTACTTTGCAATTACTTTTCAAAACTATCAAATTACTTTCTCTATTACTTTTTGGCACGCTATTACTTCAGTAAGAATTTGAAATGGAAAACAATTTCTGGTTCGTTCTTGAAAACGACATTGGTTTTGAAATACTAATAGATATAAAATCCAGCTTGAAATAAGTTTTAGCTGAGTTTTTATTTTTAAGATATAAAATAAATTATATACAAATTTCATTTTTGTCATGCCGCATTTGGAATAAAACGCAATCGAGCCCACACCAAACTGTCTTTTTTCATCTTCATTTTTATTTTATAAACGATTAATTTTTATTTTTCAAGATAATGTATTCAAGAATACTTGGGGTTTGTGGTTTATGCCGAACAGACATAACCAAACTATTGATGGCATCTACCTCAATTACTTTTTGTACCTCAATTACTTTTTTTCGGGAAAAATTACTTTTTTTCTTTACTTTTCTATTATCATAATTACTTGTGACATTCTCGGTGGCGGTGGAATTGCGACTAAAAACGAAAAATTCTCCAGTGAAGAAATAAAAATTACCGGTGCTGACGATTTGGAATATGTTTGTGTGAAAGTCAGTACCAAATCACACGTCATCTACATCTACTGTGCATACATTCCACCAAATTCACCGCAAGTAGTTCGTCGGATATCTAAAAAAATTTTCAAGACAATTGAGATCTGTAAAAGCCAAAAGTTTTGGCGTGTCGAGACAAAGCTTCGGATTGATTTTGAGCCCATTCTGACCTACCTTATAATTCATATCGAGACCAAAACATAGAAACAATTTAAGTTAATCTTTGTATTACATTGACATAACTCAATTAGTTTCCATTATAAACAAATAAATAATAGGTCAAAACAATCACCAACATAATGGATGGCTAAAGCAATATGTCAGATGTCACGGCTATAATTCAGCAAATTTTTACCAAATAAAAAACATCATTTCAATCCTTACAATCACTTTATTATCATAATTTGCAAGTTTTGCTAATTATTTTCAACAAATAGAAGTATTTAGCGGCAATCGAAGTATTTCGAAAATAAGTCTAATTTTTCTACCCGCATCACTATCAACATCAATTTTTGTTATCAATGATCGAAGGAACTGGATAAATAAATCAAGACTTTGAAGTATGGAGCTTTGTTGAAGCCAAACACAAGGCAATGTGTTTATTATTATATATGATTTATTTACTGCGTCCATTAGAGTGCATATCTAAAATATAGGAGAAACCTGATTAGACTATATTTTATTTAATTACTTAAAGATTTCCTACCCGTATAGCTGACAGTAAATATCTATTTAGCAAGGATGAGATGGCAATTTCCTTCAGGGGACTGTCACTGATGATTCCCTCCCAACTTAGTAGATTTCGAAATAGTTTCAGTGCACTGCTAAACTGACGTTGAAAGAATGAAGATTTTGCATCTTGAAGCCTGAAAATAATTTTCGTTATTGTATTCTGAATTTGAATGAAAAAACGTTCATGACATGTGAATTTTTACTGTTTAGGGAAAATTGGAATGAACACATCGTATTCAAGTGAAAGTCTCATCGCATTCAATATGGTTGTTATGAGATTTCTCATGTATTTGGATGTTGATTTGAGTGTTGGGTAACGTGCGATCATCCGTTTAATTAATGTTACCAAACGAAGTGTTTGCGTAGATGACAATGGATCCCAGGCCTTTTCAATAAACTCTAAAAGAGGTATAAATCACGAATTAATTCAAAAAGAGGTATAAATCACAAATTAACTCAAAAAGAGGTAAAAATTAGTCGAAAATCGACCTTTCGACGTTTCAATACCGGTTATTTTAGGTAAAACTATTTTCTCCATTAAAGTTGGCACTAATCGGATATCTGGATCGTCGAACAATCGAATTTCCGTTTCAGATGGTATAAATCCATATCTCATTATAATTTCAAACCATTTCATTTTCTCTAAGTCTTTGCAATCGTTATTCAGTGGATTCCAAGTCAACAAATTCAAGCGAAGAATTGGACCGATAATCTAAAAATAAAATGAAGAAAAAGCATTAAAAAAAAACTAAATCTGCATCAGAAACAAAATTTATTTTACCTTTGGCAAGCAAAGACTAAAATATGTTTCCTTGTAGGAGTCAATGTCGTGATTGCGCCATGCCTCAAAATGCCCCAAAATCGACGACAAATCACTGAACTCGTCCGCACAATCTTCAAAAACAAGCAATGCTTCCGCATTTATTTGTTCTGTGGATAATAACATTTTTCATTATTTTATCTTCTTAATTCAGAAAAAAGTTCACTCATGGGATAAACTTACTAATCTGATTTTTATACGTAGTACTTTCTTGGTCGGGTATTTCATCGTCACTTGACATGCCGTCTAGGTGATCATTAGTAGTGCATCTACGTTCACGGTCTGTATAACGAAATTGTGCGTCAATTATACAGTTCATTTAATGAATTTCAAATAGATTACCTCTTCGGCGCCGCGTACGACGCCCTTCACGTTCGGCTGCACGTTGAATTTGCTGTTCTTCCTCCTTTCGAAAGGATGATGCTATATGTACAGATTCTGAAGGGAAGATAATGTCAATGAAATGTATAAAATCAGAAAATACTAAATAATTCAATTTACTTTGCGATGCAACACAATCTCTAGCTTGATCACGCACATCTTGTCGTCGGCGTTCGATCAGAAAATGTGCATATTTTACTTCCGCGGCCATATATTTTCGTTCAAGTTCATTTATTTGGGGAACTTTTGTATCAAAGCATTCGATAAGGTCGTATATATAACCTTTGAGCTCCTGATAAAAAAGAAACTTCGATGCAACAACTGGAGCATTTTGCTCCAGATTTAGTTCTTCGAGTGTTAAAACATTCAAATCATTGTTGATTTTTTGAATTTGGCTCAAATGTTCACTTTTCGATTCTTCCACTTGATTCAAACGTTCTTTCACAATATCAAGCACTTCGTGCGGCATTTTTGGCCCTGTTTTCTTCCCGGTTTTGATTTGATTTAATTTCGTAGATGGTGACTTATGAATGTTCGAGCTCGCATAAGCCAGTTTCAAGAGATTTCCAGTTGAAATTTGCGCAGAGCTTAAAGAGTCATTCGACCCATCTCTAATTAAGAAATGCGAAAAGGCTTCTTGTTGCGCATTAATCAACTGCGAGCCACTTATTGCTTTTCGAATTTGTTGACTTTCCCACTCATGTATGTCCAAATCGGAATCTTCATCAGAACCTACAAATACATATTATGACTCTTGATCAATTATTTCAACGGAAAATATTGTTAATCTAACCATGTCCTTGAACAGAATAAAACTTTTCTCGTCTCTCATCCAATTCCTTTTGTCCCGTTATGGCCGACATATTAACTCGCTCTTCGTCCGATACATCATCTTCAGCTTCTTCACGTATTAGCCGTCCTTTTTTATTATCTACTTGCTCATTGTCTTCAATTGGAATAAAATCACCTGAAAAATATAAAATAATCAATTTTCACCAAAAATTCTAGTCTTTTAATTAATTATTCACTCCATAACTAACCCAATTCTCGTGCCAATTGCCTTTTTTTACGTGCTTCGTGAATCATGTGAGCATCGGGAATAGCTCCACTTTCTAGTAATGCTTTGAAATTGTCTGGTTTTGTAAAACGATGTTGATGTTGTTCTTTTGTCACAGATTCATCCTCAGATGATGACATATCATCACGTCCCGCACACAACGCTGCTCGACCATTCAACACAAGACTCGGCTCAGTTTCTGTTTTCTTAACAACAAGCTATAACAGATGTAGAATTAAGATAATGAATTATAGCCATACGATAGAAATTTCTTCGTAAAAATGACTGATATATCAGTTCATATATGAACTGGTTGATTTGTATTCTTACCACAAAGTCATCAGTACGTATTTCAGTATGTTTGGAAACATGTGATGATTTTGCCTGATCGGACGAATTTTTTCCAAATGATGCTGGACAAACAACGTCATATGGATTTGTTTCATTGTTGAAACCGTTGTTGGATTTTCCTTCACTCATCGACGAATCTTGAACGATTGCATTCGATTGATCTTTTTCTTTACTTTTCTTCTTACGTCGCTCCTTGTCTAGCATCTTCATAACCTTCTTACTTTGAGAAGATTTTTTAATCTGAAACACTTCAGCTTCATCTTCTGAAATAGATATAAATAAATTTATCAATTATCTATACATTTTAACATCAAATAGTCACACAAAGTTTGTACTGTAGAACATGCCTTCGTCTCCAAAGCTTAGAAGTGATGGTGTTTTAATGCTTCTACACAATTCGTCTTCTACACAATTTTTTCCTGAATTTTCAGTACTTTCATCGTCGTCTACAGCACTGAACACTCGACGATGTACAGCCGCTTTTTTTGGTCGACGAAACAGAGACATTTTGCTTCTGTTTTATATGTTCTTTTGCACCATACTGACAAAGACACATTGAAATTTTGCGTCAATTTAGGTAAAACTAGTTGATAATACTTGATTCATGACTTATGTATTTTGACATAACGCTAAATGGCGAAATGAATACGTTCAATGCGATATATTGAATAGTGACTGTGTTTGAATCAGCCAAATATAAAACCAATGTAAAAACTGAACAAAAACATGTTTCTTATTTTTTTATTATTATTCAAAAAAAAATTATGTTTATATAAATATATATCATTTTTCTCCTGCCAATGTGTGCTTGTATGCCGCAGCTCAAATTACAAGCAGAAATATCGGCTGAATGCGTCTTTAGCTGAGAAAACGCCGAGGTGTAGACTTTAATTTTTTCCTGTGTAAACCCAAATGCATCCGATTCCAGGCACATATCCAAGGTTGAATACGGGAATAGATTTAACCGTAGAAGTAACCGTCATAGTGATCCAATTGTGAATGGAACGAGACTAAAATATTAGCAAGTTAGAAGATAAATAAAGAACTCCTCAACTACCAAATAAATGGTGACTAAAAAAAATTGGTTTTTTATGAAGAATTAAAAAAAAAATCAAACTTTTCAGGAATTTTTCAGTCCACAATATGCGCGTTCGAACAATTTCTAATAAATTCTGTACTAACTAATGAACAAAAGCTCAAAGTTGAATTAATTTTGCCTTTAATTTTATTCTATAATTGTGTTTGAATGTGAGATTGGTGTGTGTGTTTTTTTTATGTGATTTTACAGGATTTTTTCTCAATGTGTGATATATTAAATCGCACAAAGTAATGTAATTTACGTGTTCTATTTGTATTTGTATTTGAGTTTATCATTCTTAGAACCATTGGCGGTCTTCGAGTGTCTATTTCTGTATTTTTCTGCACAAATTACATGGCATTTCAATTGGCTTTATACAAAATATTATCATCATAGGTAAAAATAATCATTTCTCAATTTCCAAATGTAATAATGAAAACAATCGAAAACAAGAGTTAAAAATAAGAGAAAATTTTTATAGTGTTTATTCTGAATTAACACATAAACTTTCAAATCAACTTGAAACAGAAGGTACAACTAAAAATTAATAAAAAATAAAAGAAGAATTAGAAGAAGAATTATTTATAAATAATTCAATGTTCCGAATTCAGCAATTGAACCGACTTCGATTGTAAAGACCGAAGCTAAAGAGACTTCATCTAAAGTATAATTTTACAAAATTTTACAACGAGGTTTTTGTTTTTGTTTTCTTTTAGATCATTTCAAATTAGTGCTATTCTACAATTATTTTCGTGGGCTGTGGAGATTTGTGTGAGTAGATCGATTTCAACGGGGCAATCTCGCATTTAAAAGACAAGATCGCCATTCTACTGCCAAAAAGCTATTACGTATTTCTTATGTGTCTATAAAAAAAGTGTTGTATTTTTGCGAAGTTTTTGATTGTTTATTCTTGAACGACGGCGCCACTTCAACGAATATAATTAGTGCTTTCTCCGTGCGATTCGATTTACTAGATTGCAAATTTTCAGCGCAGGACCCAATTTCATGTCCATGTACTTCATCATCATATCCGAATTGAGAAGCAATAATGCTTTGCCATCGATTTCCTATGAATGAATAAAAAAAAGTCGTCAACGTTATGTTCGAACTCAATAGTCAGCTAGAACCAATATATCAATCGGAAACAACAACTCACATGCTTGCGAAATAGTTCGGCATGAACAGCCAACGCTGGATCTGTGTCTGCGATGAATTTGATAACACCTTCAACGGACCATTCCTGTGGTGGGCCGGTCGGTAGCCGTGATGATGCATTTGTAAATGGCGTCGCTGGTCCGGTAAAGGAAAGCGATGCACTACCCGTAGTCGTTGTAGTGGTGGTTGTAATTGCTTGTGCCGTAGTACTCGAAACATTTTCTTCTTCTTCCTCTTCTTCTTGTTCCTCTTCTTCCTCCTCCTCCTCGGCAGGACTTTCAACCTCCGATACACCGATCGTCATCAGATCATTATCATTTTCAAAAGTGTATTCATTCTTCACCTTTTTTATGGTGTATTTTAACGGTCGATCGCTACTCGATGAATCGCTCTCGGTTTCGTATTTCACAGATTTTTTCAACTGATTCTGACGCCCTTTTTCCTTTCGTTCTGTTTCTTTGTACCGTCTCACCTCTTCTTCTTGCTCCAGCAGAGCTTCCCGTTCCTCCTCCTCTGCACATGTTTCACATTGCTCTGGACCCGGATCCAAAGTTATCAGGTTCTCACATGCGTCGCATGTTCGACAAATTATCTGCAGGAATTGTGTCATTTGAGCATCGCTCAGCATATCATTTGGTTTCCAAGGAATTTTCACCTGTTAATCCATGAAATGATCAAAAAAAATTAAAAAGAAACTCACAAACTAAACGAAATATGATGTAATTGTTACCGTAAAATTCTTTCCAGCCGCTGTGACAATGATGACTTCACCTTCCAAAGCGAATAGCAAAGGTGACAGCTGTGATGTGTCACGTGATGCAGCCAAAATTTCTTGTAGGCAAAGTTTGGCGAGCAGGTGATGTGAGGGTGCCGTTACCATGGACGGAAGCTTTGAGCTATTGATAAAACGTCCGCCACGGCATTTTGTATGGAAATGGATTGTAATAGGAGTTGCTGTGGGCAGGGAGTCATCAGGTATCAGAATATTTGAAGGCTTTGCTGTCTTTCGTTTATTTGCCGCATCGAATTTGTTTCGATGGCCAGGCGGTTGTACGGGATGTAAACTTCGTGTACACCAGCCAACTGGGAAAATGTCACGCGAATCGTATCGTGTCCAATAATCAAATGCTCCACGCCAACCATCAAATGCTACATGGACTTGATCATCTTTAACCGCATCAACTGTTGCACAGCATATTAGTTGTGGGTTCTTTTTGTCGACAGCCTCCAATTTTTGTCCCACCTAAATGATTTAACACATAAAAAATGAGTTTATTTACTCAAGCTATTGATCGAATCTTTTCAAAGCTCACCTTGAACAGATTCTTTTTCGGCGTTGGTGGTTCAGGTAGAAATATTTCTTCAGGTGCAAGTACTGCATTTTTCAATTGCTTAACTAGAAACGATTGCCAGCCGTTCACATTTTTCGCATAGCCTAATGGAGGTTGCAGTTGACCACCCTTGCGTTCACAGTAACCAATGGCATGAATTTCATTTGAATTATCAACTAAACGCCAGAAATCATTTTGATTATCACTGCCGTCCAATCGAATCCTCAGTCTTGAGCCGAGCACATTTATAACCGTTCCAATGCACGTCGATGTGACACACCGTGGATCTAATGCTTCAAGTTTCATGCCAATTTTGAACTCGTTCGGTGGCGGATTAAGGGCTTGTTTAAAACACTCTGGTGGCGCTGCTTCACTATTCGTTTCCTTCGGAATTCAAATCATATGCAACCGATTAATAAATTTCATTAACTTTTGTTTTCGACACGAAAAAATTTGAATAGCAAAAATTTGCTTACCTTCAAATACTCATCCCAATTGAATACATGGAAACTCTCATACTGAAATGATCGCGCCGGTTGATGTGCATTTGTCGGGCTATTTCGTTTGACCATCGCCGTTTTTACAATACTGCCCGAACTTCGGTTCTCATTGTTATTATTTTTACTTGTACTATTGTTATTATTTACACTATTACTACCGCTCGATTTGCTATTTGACGTCGACGATGATGGATATACTTTTTGGTTTTGCGTTAGCTGTTTGTAAGATCCATAGCTCTTTGAAGATGATGCCGTGTTCGACTCTTTGCTTGACTTTGCTCCATTCGGTCGCTGTATGCCATGAAAAAATATAACATATGAAACCAATTCCATTTTTTTTTCTCCACGGATTTAAACATTAATTTTACTCACAAATGTGAACACATCCAATGGGTTGGTTTTCGTACTTGATGTCTGCTTTGGAGGCCTGCCTCGAACTTTTCCATTTACTGGGATTGCAGTCATACCATTGCCATTCGTGATGATCTTTAACTTGGTTGGCGGCTGTGGCGGCGATGACAAATTATTTCCTTTATGTGATTTCTTACTGTTATTCATTGCACTGAATTGTTTTGCCTGTGTTGCTTAGATCCTGTTTCTCATTGCACATATTCTCGTATCGTAAATATCCGTTTGTTTCACCTGATTGTTTTCTGGAAATAGAAAGAGAAAAAGCAAACACACAATGCCATATGGTTATAAATATTTCAAACGAAAAAGACTGCTAATTGCTTTTCAATTTGTATCACAACTGCTTGAAACCCAATAAATGATTTATAACCCGTTCGCATTATCCATGTTAGGTGGATCAATGTGGGTTGTTTGTGGAATTAGGAAATAAACCTTATATAGGTATGACCCCAAAACAACAGAAACATCGATATATTTCTGTCTCACCGCAGTGTCACAATGAATGGTTTAATTTTAAATATGCACTAGTGTGTATCCATAATATTATTGTGATTTACGTGAAAAAAAAAATGCAATACAATGGGCCTGTTGTCACATTCCGGATGAATTGCAAACGATCAACATAATAAGTTTCAATTAAGAGCTCATTTTGAAAACACTGCGTGAACAACACCGTGAAATTTAGTTCACAACCACTTAACACCAAATAACACATTCATAAACCAAAACACTTGCGACACAACCGAAATTATTTTCCCAATCGGATAGCATTCAGCATTTTTTGTGTGTTTTCATTTCTTTCCTACATCGAAACCATTTCAATTCAATTTGTTTGCACAGCAGTTGTGAATTTCGAATCAATTCCGTAATTAGCATATTTTCCACTATAAAAAAATACATTGTAATTGAAATGACGAAAAATAAAATAAATACCATTCAGTCGATGCATGCGAGATAAACGATATTTTATTGAAATTCAATCGAATCAAATGCAAATGATTGATTGAACGATGAACTGATTTGGATTTCAGTTTCACTGAAACGCACAAATATAAACATTTACTTGCTTGTATTTTAACCAATTTCAACCGAGTATTTTCGCTCTTTAATCAATTCGATACAGCGCCATATTTTTTTTTCTCTTCAATATTTTGGCATAACTTTGTGTTGTGTTTGTTGGTGTAACCGAGTGCGTTTAGTGTGCCATCAAAATGTGAGGCGCGCAAATTGGGTATTTAACAGGTTTTCGATGTGGCTGGGGAAGCGTTGGTGACCGATTGCAATGCCAACTGGTTGTAGCTAGTGGAAACATCAGCTACTCCTTGCCTTCGTGAAAATTTCGATGTAACGAATTGTTTTTTTTTTTTTTTGACCTATTTCACACCATACTGTGTGCGCAATTTTAGAATAGAAGATGTTACTTCATTTTTTTTTAAATCTTCAATATGCTATAATATCGTCGTGTATTGATTCTTGAATGATATTGGAACAAAGAGTATGAAAAAAAAAATCCTTCAACTAATACAATAAACAAACAACTGATAAAACCAACAACTAAACAGTAAAAGGATAAGATTGTATCAATCAATCAAAGCGAGTTACCATTCAAGGTATTATCTGATACAATTTGTAGTGTAAATCAATCTCATCAGTGCAAATGTGAGTTGACTGAACATTAAATGTTAAACCGTTTACCGTTTCATGCGTCAACATTGGTAATGACTAATAACCTATTACTTAATTTTATGTAATTTCATTAGTTTTTACACCTTCGATATGGAAACAAGTTGAAGGGGAACGCACCAGCACAAAACGCATACCAGAAATAAATGCGATATCAAATATAGCTAACGAAGAAAAAGAGACAGACGAAGATAGTTTGATTTGTAAACGCTACTGATTACGTTTTGTCGAAACGGTAATTTATTCAATCGATTTGTTACTTTCTTTGATTCATTGTCGTGAGCAGACGCTAATTTATGCTTATCGAAGGGAACGCATGACGTTGATTTGCGCTGTGTTTGTATTGTGAATATTCCAGTGCGATTGAATGGAACGCAGCTGTTGAATTGAGATAGTAAGTATATGGAACGTTTTCACACGGTTCAAAGTAACGTATTGCTATAAAATGAATGCCTAAGGTGATGTTTTGCGATGTTTTTGTCTGTGTATTGTCAGAACTCAATAGCAGGCATCATACGAATAGAATATGCTCTGTTTATTTCCTTCTTTACTCTTTCCAATGGCTTATGCCATCTCAAGGACAGTCTCTTGACGAAAGCGGTATGTATTTCGCATGTATGCATCATTCATCAGAACTATTATTAAATTATTTTCGCTTCCATGACGTCAAATCAGCACACTTTTCTTTCGAATGAAATGGATGGAACTCACAATGACAATCTTTTTTATCAACGCAAAAATCCTTTCTAATTTACTTATTTTTTCAATCAAATTGAAATTCTTTTAAATGTCCAGCTCACTTCATTAAGATGTTATTTGCACGTTTCAACTCAATTACCGGCATAGAAAGTTTCAATTCATATTTTCAACGTGGCAGGAATAGAAGAAATTTTAAAATGTTATATACTGTTCGTGGATGTAATTGCTTTAGGTGACATTTGAGTTGATATTTAAAATGCGAGCATGCTGATACAATCAAATTAAACCTCTTACATCCACCTTTGTGAGTTCTTTAGCCGAAGCTTTATTAATACTGTAAAGCATGCAAAACATTTCACTTATTCATTGACACCGTACAACGATAAAATGCGAGGCGGATACTACATTGTGCGTCCGCTTGATTCCAAATCGAAATTCAGTGAAAATCCGTATAAAGTCGAGCGGTATCCCATTCATGATCCACCAATATTCTTTTGGCGCCTGCAGATGACTATGGTCTTGATGCGATTTTGTTGGCGTTGTTGGATCGTCAACAAGAATTCAATGAATGAATGTTTGCGCTGCGCACAATCACCCAACAATCATGTTTGCTTGGCATTTGTTCGTGCTCAGTTCCCCTTCCAATGCCACAAACACCGTTAAATTCATGCAAACTGATCAATTCTTGATATCCTGCTGAAGAATTTGCAAATTTAATCGAAAAATGAGTAATATATTATTATTATTATTTTTGGAATTGATGAAATTAATCGGTTATCTCTGCCAAATCAATGGTAGAAAAAAAAAAACGCGTAAATCCCCATTCGTATGCGGCAAAACCAATTTAATTACGTCGTCAGTTTTCAAAAGACAACAACAAGAAAGTTATCGAAAAAAAAAAAACTCATCACGATATCCATAGCCGATTTTATTACTGTGCCATAATTGCGTGAAGCCCGGCATAAAGTAAACAAAATTCTAGACATGTTTCACTCAGGGCAATATGATGTAATTGTATCTATTCGGTGCTTAATCGAGTGCATTTGTGTCTTTTTAGGTCTATTCTAAAGGTCACCCACTAAAATACATGAATGAAGAAAATATTTTTCAGCAATCGGTGTTCAACGAATGGAATGTGCTTTGTTTTCTTGATTAAGCATAATCCTACTTTTTTTCTACAGTGCTAAATTCCGGGTATTTCCTCATCAAAATGATAATGTTCATATGAAGATTGTGCGGCATGTGAGAAATTTTGCTACCTGACCGATTAACGACATCATTTTGTACGACGAGTATCAAATTCAAAAGGGAAAAACAACCGTTCGGTGTTTCACACAAACCGAACGATGGCTGCACGCATCCAAACTGGCTTATCAAATGCGTAAACAACACGAAGCGAGACTTCATCCAACAGAACAGAGAACTTCGAATCGGCGAACACAACACTCACACAAACACAAACACGACAATCCAAACGGCGAACAACACACGTACACTCTGTGTATGAGTGAGTGTGTCGACGACAATGACGATGATGACGAAGACAGGCAGGCAGCAGCAGCTCGCACTCAATTCTAGTATTAAAGGAATACGCACGACGAAAATATGGTGATTTGTTCGTGAAACATTGAACTAAAAACAACTTGTTGAATAAAGTACAAGAAAGGCGTTAAGCAGTGTTCCGTTGTGTATAATATACGGACGAAATAACTTTTATTTCTGTGATTTTTTGGTGCAGTGCAAAAATACAACGAGGTGAAATAAAATATTTATCGGTGTTGATTTTCGTTTGTTTGTTGCTCATTTTATTTTCTGTAATCGATTACACACTATTATTTTTGTGTATAATTTTTTTCCTGGATTTTTCTTCATATTTTTCAAAATTTGTACAACTTCGAAATAGAGTGCGAAAAAATCGTTTTTTTTTTGCTATACGCTGAAAAATAAAGCAAGCATCTTAATGCCACTCGGAATTTTTTGATCAGAAATATTCAGGAAGAAAAAGAAAAGAAATACTGCAGTGAGTTTTCATTCATTCGACTTATTAATACAATAAATTTTCTTTTCCATTTTTTGCTCCTAAAGGTATTATCATACACACACACACACACACTCTCTCTTCTGAATTTATTCAAAATTCCAAAGCGGTTACAATTGAATAGAACGTAATTTTTGTTGTTACGTTGATATTGTTGCCTAAGACAATAAAATCTTCCGATTGAGCATTTCCAACGAATTGTTGTTGCCGCGATTAGAATATAAATATTTATTTTTGTTTGGTCAACGTGAGCGCATCAGGATATCAGCGTATATTTGCCCTCTTTGAACTTTCACGAGATACGCGATACACAGATCAATACCTACGGCTGATTAAATATACCCTCGTATGATTATTGAGCCGGTGATAATTAGAGACGGCACCGCTCTTTTTTTATCTAATCGATAATTTTTGCTGTGATTTGAAAATACACGTCACGTTTATACGGGCAATGTAGAAGAAAAAAAAAGAACAGAAAAAACGACCGAACACAACTAATATTCATAAATTGGCCGAAGAAAAATTGATAATTTTCCAATAAAACAGTGAGATTAATATCTAGAGTGAGAGTGACTGCTGTTGAGCTATTTAAATTACGTGTGCATTTACAACCGTTTAACCGTTCGGTACGCAACAACAAGCAAAAAAAAAACTTCTGATACGTGACTGCTGACGACGGATTTGTGTTGTCATTCATCAGTGCGAACAATTTTTTTTTCGTTGAAAGTTGAAAGCTTTGTAGCTGACTGTGTGATTTGCATATATCCCTCTTTTTGGCATAATGATGGTTACACATAGAAAAGGTTAGTGCCTTTCATTTAATACCAAATTGCAAACGTTCACTTCAACTGAAACGCAACTTTGGTTTTCATACTCATTCTCTTCCTCTCTCACTTTAACTCTGTCTCTCTGTGTTGAAATTCATAGGATTCTTTATGCAAACTATGTTGGTATTTCTCTCCATTCCGAAAATTCATATTTTTGCCAAACAAAGTTTTGCTTTTGAGTTGATAATTTTTGAAACGGAAATTTTTCGCAAGTATTTTAACGATTGTATTCAAACTATTTGTGGATTGCAAATTAAATGCGATGAACATGTGGATTCTGTTTTCCTTTTCGAGAAAAATGCAGGTAACATTACCGTGGAAACAGAAGAACCATTCAACCGACTTCAAATCAAAAAATGGTAGCAATTCTCGTGAGAAATCAAAATCAATTGGCTATTTATAATTCGATTGCATGCTAGAGCTATTTATTTATTAATGCATTCGACTCATGTTTCTGACAATTTCATTTTCCATTGCGATTATTGAATATCCTCCTCCTCCACAAAAAAAAAATAAAAGAAAAAGAGAGGCACAAAACGATTACTTGTTGCAATGTTTTCATTGGCTTTCTTCACGGATACTTCTATTTAATATATGAAATGCTATTTTGTAATTAAAATGCTGCTGTTGAAAACGACAGCGTTGAAAGCCATTAAACACGATACCAAACACATCATTCAGCCAGGCACAACGTCGAAGTGCGTGACGTGGAAAAAGTGCAAACAAATTCGAAATAACAATTAGAATGTGCATAGAAGCAGATAAATCTAATTGTCTGTTTGATAAAATGTAATTAGTTCAGTTGTTCGTTTTTGTTGTTTGTCGGCTAAATTACAACCATTATTCTGTTCAGGGGGGAAAGAGGCTTATAAAAAGCTTCACAAAAATTAATCAAAAAGTGAGCCATTTTATTCGAATGCTAACGCGTTTTTTCCTTTCGATAAATCAAACAAGAAACACAACTATATTGGATTAAGAACGCGATTAATGTCGATTAAATAAATCATTCGAATAAAAGCCTTCTAATTACCTGTTGGACCATCACATATTCATTACCACCTTAGTTCAATATATGCTCGTACACAAACTGTACAATCATTTCTCCCCCAATTCGAAGAAAACACAACATAGCCTGCTAGTCCATTTCCAAATCGAATCCGATGACTTTCATGGATGGCATCGCCCCTAAAGTCCTTTTGAATTTCTGATTATTTTTAGCTTGAAGTCAGCCTATCAACAGCACTTAAATTGGCGTCAAGACACCGTTTGAATGATGAATCAAATGCCTTTTATTCGTGAGACCCAAAATGCCACACACACACACACAATGGGCTCGTTTTGGCCAATAAATGATGTGAAACAACAAATAAATATGATTTACCAAAATGTTGTAGACCTCATTTTGAGGTGAACTTCGGTTCATTCAATTGAATGACTGGTTACACAACCGATTGGGGTGTTTTTTTGATTCGATTTGGTTGATGGTTAAAAGATCAAAATATTTTGACCAAATGAAATAGAAGGAATTTGGTTTTTGGTTGTCTTGTCTATAAAATATACATTTTTCGCACAACCCGCGTTTATGGTGGTCTAAAGCTACCTACGCAAACAAAAGCCCCGAACGTAAAAAGTAATCTCTTTATATGTAGTTTCTTTTATTAGATTGGTGGGTTCAAATATGTCAAGAACAATTTTATGACGAACGCCGTACACCAACGGCTTAAACAAAATGGAATGAATGGCGGCTACTCTGCATAGTGTGACAGCATCCTACCATATTCCATTTTACACATGGAATTGTTTGAATTCTTTTGCATATCCACCAAAACCCGTTTCGAAAATCCAACGACATAGCCATGATATCCTTTATCTTAATACCAATCACAAAGGCCAAACCAAATAATATGCTATTTATTTGATTCCAATGCACGCGATTTGAATACAATTTCGTATAAATTGTACTAGCCAATCGATATTCGAATTGGGAAATTGGAATATATAGCTGGAAAAATAGTAGCCCGAAACAAGTTAAATTAACATTTATTCAAAACATCATAAGATTCGATTACATTGTTGTCTGCTCTTGAGACGGTCTCAAATCATTTTGATTTTGTTTGGCATTCCTTTTGCGTTTTGTTTCTTCTGCTTGCTTGCTTTCGCAAGTACGTCATCTGTTTAACGATAAGCAACAGTTAAGGGCCGATTCCATTTTTCTTTTCATTTCCATTGAAATGCCAATTGATGTTTTACCTGTGCCATCCACTTGGTGATGGAAAAGGAAATGCTTAAACAAGTTTTAAATCGCTTTTATTTATTCCTACAAGTACTCAATTATTGCTAAGTGCCAGTCAATTCAATGCTTTTATATTCATTTTTAATTGAACACATTCAAATAGATTACATTTACTTCATTTTTCGAAGAAAAAATCGCTGACATTTTGGTGGAATATTAAATGAGTCATTGGAATAGGTCCATCAATATTTTAATTGATTCATCGCATTTAACGAGGGTGGAATGACACATTTAGCGTGCTCAAAGTGGAAAAACGTGCCATTTCTACTTTCGCTTCGTTCCAGAAGCATTTTATTGTCCTTTTCCGCTTGTAAATATTCAATTTGTATTGATACACTGTGTATTCTACACTCGATCAAAATTAAAGTGAGCCAATCGCGTGTCACACCGGTTTGGATTGTATGTATGTTTGTGTCCTACAGATGATACCTTTTCAGTATCAAGTTAGCATGATATTTTGCAAACAAAACTTCTTTTTGACTTAAATGATAATCAAGTTTGCCAATAAATTCAGATTAGAGTTCATGTTAATTGAAAAGTTAGCCCATGGTATATGTGCCCCAAACATTTGGCTCATTTTTAATTCAAATGTAACTTTATTGCCTTAACTACAGATAGGCACGGCATCGAACGAAATTTTGCGTAATTTCTCATTAGCCTTTCAATTTCAAAGCGATTTCTTGTTTGTTGTCACGGTGCAGCCAACCGGAAGAATTGACAGACACAAAAAAATATCACATTTTCGACTCCTACTCAGTTTTTCCAAATCACACGCATCTTCTCGTCCGAACTTATGCAGATACGGTATTTTCCTAAAAGAATTTCATTCGCTTCACATCAGCGAATCGTGGGCAAATTTTTGGTTTGATTTTGTTTTGCCAGAGAAAATACCAAGGTTAAATCCGAAAAAAAATTCGCTAAAATAGAAAAAAAGAACAGAAGAATTTGCACCCGGTTTGAATGATTTGGTCGCAGAAGATTCATATTCAGATCATAGTGGTTCTGGATTTCTATATTTGAATATCTATGCATTTAAAGCCAATATTATTCGGAAAAATAAAGTGAAAAGATTCATTCGCTGAACACAAGAATGATTGAAGCATTCGAATCATAGAGAGAACAAGAACAAGTACCGAAGTACACGTTCATTTGAATATGGATTTTTCTCAGTTTCACATCGTCGTTTTCGACCTTTACAAACTTTTAAACTGCACACGTACACCACGAATTGACTTAAGTTAGCAAATATGATTCGATTGTTCACATCTCTAGTTATTGAATTATGGAAATCGAATAATAAAAGCAACTTTCATGTTCACTCAAGTCACCAATTCTATACATTTCTTTCATGTTTAGAAAGTCATGTCGTTGATAGAATTGATCAATAAAATTTATTGTACGACAGAAAAGAGTTCGTTGATTGTTTGAAGTGGAATAATCCGACAATTTATCTCGCACGGATTCGATGGCGACAAAAGTGTAAAACGTGGAATAAGTCGATGTTCCAAGTAATGCTGTTTTTTTTTCTTTACCGAGAAAATACATTGAACAAACTCAAGCATATTCGTATTCTCGAGGGAACTGTATGCTCGACACTGTTATAGCAGAAGAGAGAGAGAGAGAGAGAGAAAAGGAAAAAAACTTACAAAATCGTTTGCCAAGAAAATCACCGACTTGATTAGATTTGTTAACGTGGTCAAAACAAAACGGTAGTTTGGCCACAGTCCTTTCTATTGATGTGTGTAATTGTGTTCATAATTTCGGGAGAATTCAATAGAATGCACTTAGGAAATCGAATTTGATCATTTGAAATTGGCTGAACGACCACTTGAACCATTGTTTGAAAATCCAACTATTTTATTAGTTCAGCGTCAGGGTCACACCATACAATGTCACATTCGTATCCATAATCCATACTCCAGATCCACTTTCTTCTCACGTTACACTTGAAGCATTGAATTGATGTGTTTCGATTGATTTATTGGGAATTTGGTTAAGAAAAACCAAGATTAAAGATTACCAAGGTTTATTCAATCAAGATTACCATAGTCAATTATACAAGATTCAGACATTCTTTACATATGTAATAGCAAACCATAGCCTCAAGCGTACGACACCCTCGATACGACATTCAACAAATCAAATACGTACGAAAATGAAATGGAACATAAGTCAAAACGACAGTATGCATATTCGAGACGTCTCACAAACATTTGATCAATCGCGATGAGCTAGATAACTTTGGCAATATTTTCGTTCACTCTGGACGTGTTATGACATTCATTAGAAGCGTCGTGGCATGAATTTTTCATGAATCCTTGTTCTTTTTCTTTCTAAACGTCACTTTTACCTACGCAACTGCTGCTTCGCCGAACAATATTCGGGTCGAGTAACTCATGTCGAGTGCTGGCAAACAGAGAAATACGCTCGAGGGAATATTATTTCGATGGTTCAGCGTTTAAGAAAAAGATAAACAAAAGAGCAAAAACCGAAAAAAACATTATATGAATTACTGTGCATTTGAGATAGCGTCAATTTGTGCGGAATCGCTTCAAAATAATTAACCTCAGGTGCTTTTATAGCCAATTTGAGAATGAAAAAAATTGAATCAACCATTTTTTCCCTTCTTCTGCTCGATTTTTATTCCATCCACTCTCGTGTGGTGTAATGTTAACGAATGCAA